GGGTTAGGTTTAGGGTTAGGGTTAGGTTTAGGGTTAGGGTTAGGTTTAGGATTAGGGGGGTTAGGTTTAGGGGTTAATTTTAGGTTTAGTGTTTACAGCGTGCTTCTGTCTCCGCGCTGTTGTCGCCCTGTTGATGACGTCAGCTATGCGGTTTCGTCGAGCGCGCTTTAGTCGAACGTGTTTTTGTGGTGGAACCTCCAGAACCTAAGTGCACTCCCTGAGCAGATGTTCCAACAGAGCCTCTACTCACTGCCAATGATAGAAATGCAGCAATGCAGGAGCACTTGCATCTTACGGACTGAGAAAAGCTTGTGTACATATATGCAAGGCCTACGTTGACTGTTTTTTCTGTCTGTTAACTAAGCATAAGGGCTTTTCCCAACTCGCTGCACATGGGGCACTTTTAAGCAAGTTCATCACCAGTCAACTCATCCTGAATCCTGTAATGTTGACTCTAGCAGACAAGAACATCCTGAAAATTCAGAAAACATCACACAAGACATTGAACCCTAAGTCTAGGTTAATAAAAACACGAGTGCTATAAAGTATTTATAACACAAAATATCAAAGAATAAACTATATTACTTCTTAATGTGATGATGTGCATTACACAATCTCTTAAAGCAGTGGCTGGATTCCTACAACATGCTGAATTAAAATCACCCAACCCCACTTTTGCCCAGGGACCCCGTGTCTGGGTTGCAGGAAGCAAGAGAACCACTGGTGCCATCCATGGCAGCAAACAGCAAGAATGTTCTGTATCATTTGACTGCCATCTATGGCTCACTTGGATTTTTTCCAGCTCAGATAACGGAGTCCGTCTTTTGGCCAAGTAGGTAAATGGGGATGTGAATAGGGAGACAGCTATTAGCCTTCCCAGGTAGACCAGACAGAAAACTAAAACGGATGAATGAATTCTACTTTATTTTAGAATCTTGCAAATCTGAAAGTACAAATCTCCCACCGTCTCCTTTACAACCTGAGTAATTAGGGAGGTCCCTTCTGTGCCTCTTTTTCTGCCCATTATGTAGTTGCAGGCTATGCTCTCTCTTAACTGACTGTTCCCTAGGCAGCATCTCTTCTCCCCCCTTCCTTTCTCAAGGTCTTTCTCATATATCATTACATCATCTTCCTACAGCTTCACTTTATAACAGTAGGGAAGACTGAATGCAATCATGAACTGATTTGAACTACCTATAAGTCACTGGAAGGCAGTGCAGATTATGGCCAAAGCAGTACACACTTATTTTTATTTCTTTAATGTTTTAAAAGGGAAAAAAAGAACCAAAGGTGAAGCAAAGAAGTACAGAAGTAGAAGTAGAGAAGTACAAAATAAACAGGCAAGAAATTGGCAAGCATCATAAAATCGACTGCACTGAGTACACATTTTCAAAATAACATTTGTTGTACGTATTTGGATATCTTCAAGCACAAATCATTATTAGTTAATATTAGGTGGTAACAACAGTAATTAGCAGAATATAAATTATAAGTCAAAATGAAAAATTAATCTTATGAGTTGGTGGGGGGAACCATTATCCTTTAAGTTAAGAGATGTGGATGTGGTGCAAGTCTATGAGTAGACTGTAATCCAAAAACAATTACCAAATTAGATTAAAGTTTGTATATGGATTATTTTTCAGGAAGTATATTTTAAATCGCTTATTTATATTTAAAATGTAAATCATTCAGTAGAATGAAATGGAACTTAAAATACAATGAGGGAGACAAAGGTTTAAAAACCCAGTGCCTGAAATGATTATGGTATTGGGAAGAAATCAGAGGTTTGCACCAGTTCCTTAGAACAGGTTCGTCAAATCTACCGAACCGGTTAGAAGAGGTTCCACCAGTGGACCCGGAAGCAGGCCACATCTACAGAAGAGGTTCCAAAATTGTTTGAAACCCACCACTGACACACACACACACACACAGACTCACACAGAGAGAGAAAGAGAAAGAAAGGAAGAAAGAAATAAANCCTGCTTACAGAAACTGCCTCTCTGGTTAACCCTTATTACCACTGTAACAGCTAAAGCGAAGCGCCCATCGACCTGGGTGACCTTGAGTTGGTCATGCCCACACAGTCACATGACCACAGAGCCCAACCTACCCAGATAGTCATTAGGGCAGAGAACCGGTTGTTAAAGTATTTGAATCCCACCACTGATGTGGCAGTGTTATTGCAGGGGATCTAATAGCTGGAGAAGAAAGGGAGAGGCTTCCTTAATGATGCACCTGTCAAATCATTAGGACTCTGGTTGCAAATCCATTGCTTTCTAAGGTGGCCCTCAGGATTTCAGCAAATTAGGAGTAGTTTCAGGCGGGGTCCCTACTTACGCTCGTAGCAGCTGTCCAATCTCATACTTGTCGGTGATGTCAGAAAGGCTGTTGTAATTCTTTTCATCCCGCAGTCCGATGCAGCCAAACGGCATCCTGGGGGTGAGGGAGACATAAGTACTGACAATCAGTCTCGGTGTAACTTTTCTGATCCTGTTTATCCTGAGTTCTCTACAGGTTGTAAGTCAGAGATGGAGATTGGCTTTTGCCGTAGAACCTCAAGCAGTCATCTTTAAAAGAAGATATTCAAGCAAGCGGTAGCTTAGCCACGCAGCTTTTAGTACAGGCTTGATTGCTAGATTCCAAGCACAAATCGGAAGGATTGGCATGTTTTGTTCTGAACCAACAGCTTCATTTTTCTCTTTGCTGAATACCTCCCAACTTTTATCACCAAATCCCCTGTCTCTATCCTCTCATGGAAGCTTCATGTGTACTCCAAACTAGCTCTTCCTAGGAGGCATTGCCCTTCAGTGGAAAGAGGAGATAAGGTTATGTCATAGTTTGAAAGTGTCTACGCATTTATGACCCTTTGTTTCTGTCAGAATTCCCTTCGCGCTTCATTAGCATGACCTTCATACTTCACACATAGCGAATGAGAAATCTTCTAGAGCTGAGAATAAAGCCTTAAGTTGTGCCTCTCTCTCCACCCACAGGGGAACACACTTTCAACATATTGTCCAATTCTCTAGAAGTCCTCCATTTTTCCTGTGGCCAAAGAGATAATAAAAGATCTTAGGTCAAGGAAGAAAGCAGGATAGTGTGTTTACTTATTTATTCCATTTTATGCCACTCATCTCCCGTATAAGGTGGAACCTATACTATGACCTGAGATCACATTGATTTCATGAGTAGAAAACTGTTCATCTCCAAGTTTATTAAGTATCTCAGTTTACAGAAGGCCAAGTGCACTTCAATTTTTGTTGAATAGGTTAAACTTCAATTCATTCAATGAAATCATGACTGATGTGTGTCCTAATGACTTTGATGGGATTTAAATATGTTTCCCCAACCTGATGCCCTCCAGATATGTTGGACAGCAACGTTTACAATCTTTCTTTGGCATTCTTCATTTGCATCCATATGAACAACTGCTAATGATTGCTGGTTGCTAGAGGCATCTGATATTTTTTGCAAATGAACTTCTGCATATACAAACAGTCCTCCTTTTGTACAGAATGAGTTCCCAAAAGGGGAAGAATAAAGCTTTGCAATATTTGAAAGATTAAAGGAAGTATAATGATGTGGATTTTTAGACAATATTCTATTTTGATTCATAATGTCACAGGCTATCTTTGCAGTTTTTCACCTCCTTCATAATCCTGTCAGGCAGTTCCAAAAACTCCAACTGATTCTAAGACTTGGCATATAAGTATGTGTGCGTTGCGTCACATCAAAGTCCAAATCTATTTTAGGGCTAACAGTAGGCTATAGCATCATCTAGCTATTATGATGTTCCTTCCTTTCATTTATTGAGTGCAGCTATGCCTGATCTGTCTCCAAAGATCTCAAGGTGGCATTCAGAGTCTGTATGCAATATATGAGATTGCAACTGGCTCAGAAACCTAGTCATTTAAAATGTTAAAAGTTAGTCTCTAGTTCCTAGTTTTTTTTTTTTAATTCCTAAATTTTGCTCCGAATTATCACACATTATACCACATGGTGCCAATGTAATGCTTCTGATGGAAATATGCATCTTGAGAGGTAAAGACATTGTAATAAGTTTGTCTTGGTCAAGCAGAGTCCATGGGGTAATGCGTAGCATGTTTCAAGGTAAATGGTGAGTAACTATGAGTCCTTTTAAGAAAACTAGGTCAGACATAGCAAGAACATCTGTTCTGTATTCCAGGGCTACCTTGTGGGAAAAGAGGAGGATGTGGGAAGCATTATATATTCCCTGTATCCTGTGTAATGGCTGTGCATGAGCTTTCTGTTGTTTGTCAAATGATTGCTGGGATAATACCCTGCAAAAAGAAGAAAATGGATGGTGTATGACTAGCTCTGATTTGCAGAGGCATGACCTAGTGGTTACAATGTTGGGATGGACTAGAGCAGGAGTCCCCAACCCCAGGTCCATGGACTGGTACAGGTCTCTGGCGTATTGGAAACCGGGTCGCATAAGCATTGGGCAAATGCACAAAGCTACATTTGTGCAAGCGAAGGGCATGTGTACAAAACCATCCCCTCCCCCCTGCCACTGCCACTGTCGGTCTGCAGAGTCAATCAAATCATTCAAAATCGGTGCTTTTCCAGGAGAAAATAAAAAGCAGGAAATGAAGATGTTGTGTCTCTGGTAATTGGGAGGTGGGGATGTGTGTTGGCTGCTTAACTGCAACTATGGTTAACGATTAATCGCCATGTATTTATGGTAGTTAAGCATGTGTCAGTTTGTCCTGCAAATGTAGTCTCTGTTAGGTAAAGATCTGAGAACTACGATAGAAATTAACTTAAATGTGTTAGTGTGAAATCTGCTGTAATAGTGCTAGTGGGGCCCTTTGAAAGGCATTTCCTCAGTATCATGATGCTCTATGACCCCCATGTGAAATGTCCAGTGTCTTTTCAACTCAAGGGATAATCAAACTACCCATTCTCCAAATCTAGCTCCACAATGCATTCTAGATATCTCGGCACCCCAAGAGGCATCATTAGATACAGATGCTCCTTCTTGTTCAAACAGCAATAGCAGGCTTGATCCTCCTGGCACAAAGAAACATTGAGAACTGGGACCATATTCATGCAGCCAATTCTGGGTGACTCATCTTCATGAATCTCAGCAACAGATCCATAGATTTCTGGCTCCACACTTAAAGAGCTACAGCTAATATCTGGAGGCAGCTGCATGGAGCCCAGAAGTAAAATATTGCAATTTTCTTTTATGGATGGTTTGGATTTGAATTTTCACTCAATTTCTCTTCGGCCTTCATTTGTTTCTGACTTTTTAAATCTATCCTTTTGACAACCAACTTATCCAGTGCTTTATATTCATCTGTGCAAGAAAAAAAAGTTGCAAGATGCAGTAACCTGGAATTAGGAAGATTTTTATCAGATATTTTTTAGAAGATGGTGGATCCTGGGCATATAGACCTCTGGAGTTTTTGCTCCATTTTCTTAAATAGACAACCTGGAAGGAAGGAAATTATTCAGTTTAATATCACTCACTTTGAGCAGGTCCTGTGGTCGAAGTCCCTAAAAAGTTCAAAATCTGTATGTTCCCGTGAGATAAAAACCTATTATATAAAGTAGAATTAACAGATGTCCATTATAGGGAATCCAGTGACTTAAACCCAGTGACTGAGGGAAGGAAAGGGGCTTAATAGAAAATCCCATTCTATGAGAATCTTCATTGCCGGTGTTAGATTTTGCCCACTCCCTGTTACTCTCCAAGGTCCCATCCATTGGCTGATGGCCTATGGTGTCATGGAATGTTTAAAAGCATTTTAACGGAGGAGGGAAAACAATTAGGTGGTGCAGTGGTTAGAGTGCAGCACTGCAGGCCACTTCAGCTGACTGCTATCTGCAGTTCGGCGGTTCAAATCTCACCGGC